GGTAGCGGCGCCGCGGCTCTCCCCGGCGGGCGTCGTATGTATCCGGGCACGGGCCGGGGCTGCGCCGGGGCTGGCGGGTGCCCTCGCCCGGGAGCCAGGGGCTCCCCGGACGGGCCTCGAGGTGGTGCGTGGCGGGAGGGGCTGAGGTGCTGCTTAGGGGCCCTCGAGGTGGTCTGTGGGGAGGGGGCTCCAGGTGCCCCTGGGGGCCCACAACGTGCTGCTAAGAGGGGTATCAAGATGCTGCGGTGGGAGGCTGCAAGATGCTCCCTGGGGCAGGCTGAGATGCTCAGGACAGCACCACGCAAGGTCACAAGGGTGCAGACTTGATTCCCAAGTTAAACCCAGAGACCCAAGTCCCCCCACGATGAAGCCAGTCAGTAGGAAATTTAAAGTCAGTAGGAAATTTTCCTGCCCGGTGGGACTCATTGCCGCCAGATGTTGTGGCAGCTGGAAGTGTAGCCAGAGTCAAAAGGGGATGGGATAGATCCTTAGAGGAAAGAGGCATCATAGTTGATGGAAAATGAGGGTTGGTAGGGACCTCAGGAGGTCATCTAGTCCAACCCCCTGCTCAAAGCAGGATCATCCCCAGCTAGATCATCCCAGCCAAAGCTTTGTCTACTTGGGTCTCCAGAACCTCCAAGGATGGAGAGCCCACAACCTCCCTGGGTGACTTGTAGTCAGTAGCTGTTGAGCAGGGGAGTTAGGGATAGAGCCTCTGAATCAGAACTTCCTAGACCTTAAATGCTGGAGGCTGATAGTAGGAGAGGAGCAGTGGGAGGTGGGAAACCCTAATTCAGTCCCCTTTCAGCATCCACTCTCTGCCCCTATATGACACAGGATGCTGGGAAAAGGGGACCTATGGTCCGGACTCAGTAAATGACTGTTCTTTATATCTTGTGTATTTCAGCTAGGAAACCAGTGCATTTAAACAGCCCACCCTGTTGGGTCTTTCTGGGCCCTTTGCATCATAGAAACAGCTTGGTGATTTTTTTTCCCCTCTTGCATAAAATGAATAAAAACAAAGCGCTGTCATTTTTTGAGAGGTGACTTGAGTCTGAACAGGTTGAGAACTGCTGTTTTAGAGGGTACGTGAGAGGAGGGGATGGGAAAGCAAAGGAAGGGAAAGGGGAAATCTGAATGAAGGAAGAATGAGGGGAAAAACATGCTACAGTATCTCTTGGGCTGTCAGAGCAGTTACAATGCAGCTGTGACACAGGGCACATGTTTTTTGTTATCTGTAACTGAACAGGGGTACACAGTGGGGTAATGCACTTTCAAAGGGGCACATGTGCCTCCAAAATTTGAGAAGGTGGCATGCATCACTTGTGGCACATCTGAATGCCTCAATACTCCAGGGATGGGCCAGTTTAGTAATACGCACAGTAAGGCTAGTATTGTTTCCCACACATCCACAAACATTCTGGTAAGCAGAATTCAGAAAAATTTAAAGCAATGTGAACCAGTCTAACATAGGTTTTTATCTGTATTTTAGCAATACAGTTCATAGTGAATGGCATTGTTAAATCTTAGATACGAGAGCTTTTGTGCTATGTATTATCATCTTAGAAACAGTAATTTTTATGTTATGCAGAGCAAAAAGTTGAAATCTGCATTTTGGTTAGGGATTGTGTTGGTCCCTTTGGAGAATAATTGCCAATGGCAGGTGTCTTTTACTTGTTTGTAAAACATTTTTGTATATATAAAAGGAAATTTTGTCCTAAAGAGAGACTGTTTTCCTTGTGAATTTGATGCTGATGCTGTTCATAATGGGACTTTTGCAGTGGCTGCATGGGGCAGAAGTACCTCTGTAATTTATTAGTTAATTTCCAGTAGAAAACAACTGCAATTCCTCAGCAGGCTGCAAAACTGGCTCTTATCTAATATTTTAGATTAGGCAGTAGTATGTATGCTAGGATGGGAGGAATTGAGCTACAGTATATCTGCTTTCTAGCGGTTATGCTTTTAGCCAGAAAAGAGCTCTCTCTTCTTGGAAACAATACTGTTCATTGGTTAGACTCATTTGCATTACTTCTGTCTGGTACCACAAACTTTCTCAAAGGAAGTGGAGGGGCTGACGTTTGCTTTTTTCAGGGGCAACATGAAAAAGGGTTAGGTGTTAGCTTTTTGGTCTTTAAGCAGGCTGCTGAGTAGTAGAGTTTAATATCTGTATTATTCTGCCTTCATAGAACTAGCGCTTCTGTTATTTTCTGTTGATTTGAAGTCAGTGATTAAATAGGAATCTGGTTTTTACAGGTTCGTACAGTTCACTTTTTAGATAGACAAACTAGCAGCGGGGCCACAGCTGGACCAGAAACATCAAAATAGACTCCAAGACCTGACCATGCGTACTTTGGCTAGAATACAAATGCAAACAGATTTAAGCAAATAAGTAGCAAAACAAGTAAAAGTATCAAACTTTTTGTAACATTGCCTATGCCTGTTACTTGCACTTACTTTATTCTTTCCTATTCACCATTATCAGCAAATGCTTTGTGTTTGTTGCTTACTTTTTTACAAGATTTGTAGACGATTGGAGCAAGTAATACAGTGCTTAGTCAATTATTCTCTGTATGTTTTAGTGGAGTGACATTTCATTCCCAGAATGTAGTGTAAAGCAGTTCCAGCTACTTGTTTCCCTGACAGTGATGTATTTTAAGGTATGCTGTAATTCAGTTTGTAGAGTGAAAAACTCTTCTGCTACATCTTGTAAATCTACTGAGACATCTCTACCAGAACATCATAATTTGAGGGGATGCATTATAGAAGAGTAATTAGTATGCTTCAAAGTCATTATAACTAAACTGACTTGATATAAGCAGCCCAATTGTATTGAAAGTATTCTAAAATATTCTAAAATGTCATCCCTTCCTCCGTAGAGAAATGGAATAGAACAGACAACCTTGTTCATTCACACTACAGAGTGATGACCTATTCCAGATTACCAACATCTTTGAAAAAAGGCAAACAGACAGGAATGGTAAACTATTATTTTACTGTCTGACAAAATACCTTTATTCATGTGCAACATGATTTAATTCTCGTTAATTCAATGGAAAATCTCCTATTGACTTGTGCATGAGCTTTGATGAATACAGCTCTGGTTCCTTATGATGATGATGCTAGTGGAGTACTTTACTGATTTTTTTCAGCGTGTACTTAAGTGTTGTAGTATATCTTGGCAAATAATGATTTTTTTTTAATAATAGAAGAGCACCATTCTCAAAGATTCTGAGCTACTCCTCAAACAGGAGGGGGGAAACCTTTTCGTAGGTGAATTACTGGGTCATGGATTAACCAAGTGTGAATTAATAAACTGGATAAATTAATAATGAGAAACTATGCAGGGACGTTTTATGAGCATTTTAAAGCTCCAGAGGAAAAAAAAAAAAGAATACATTCTGAGACAGTTCCAGATATTTTGTATTTTTATTTGCATAAAATAATTTGGGCTGGATCATGACATACAATAGAGGATGAGACAGTAACCGAGGTTTGGTTTTCCTTTGCTTTGTTTACTTTGTGGCTTAAGCATTTGGAATTTCACAAGACATATAACTAAGAGTGACACTAGGCATTCATGGGTAAACACATGTTTGTGGGCAAGTATTGCAGCGTAATGCAAATGAAAAAAGCAACGTGTGTATGCAGTTACTAAAGAAACAGCTATTTTATGAATTGCAATGATATGTCAATGGCAATGACCTGTGTTTTTAAAGAATACAGTATTTTATATTCTTTTCATGAGCCATCTTGAGTAAAATTCATGTTACTCGCACCTTCCCCAAAAACCTTGGACACTAGCAATATTAGATGGATGGCCTTAACGAATTTATCACTTGGTCATGCTTGTACAAGACCAATGAGAAAGTAATGAAAGATTTGCAGTTTACAGTGGAGCAGAAGGTGGTAACTACTTACTGTGGCTTCAGGTGTGTTTTATCAGGAAGCACAAAGAAATCCTCCTAAAGTGAGAGCTAATTTTTCAGTAATTTGTCATATTGGCACATGTAAATGCTAAAGTACATTTCCAGAAAACTGATACTTTTAGCTTTTGTTTCAGATGCCTTTCATTAGCTTAAACTCAGTTTAAAATATGTATGGTCATGGCTTGATATAGACACCAACAACAGGATCTTGAGAAGATCTTAAGAGATAGGAACATGCTCTAAGGGCAGTAGATCAGGCACTATAGCCCAGTCCTACTGAAACTCAAGCTCATTTTAAATGGACTTGTTAGGTATTTCTGAAAATTCAGGCCTTGATTTATATTTTATTTCTTTTGACTTCCCCCAAACTAGCACGTATGTCATGTATTCTGTCTTACTAAAAAAAAAAAATAGATTAAAATAAATAAATAGACTTGGAGTTTATTGTATTCATCTGAATGATGTAACTCAGACTTCTGCTACAGTGTATACAGGACATCAAAAAGTCCTTTTTCAAATTCATAGGGAGTATGAAGAAGGCCCCTGCAGGGTACACTAGGCAATCTGGTGGTTGCACCAGAGGAAAAATCAGCCCTTTTTAACAAATTCTTTGCCTCCATTTTTTTGGGCAGAGACCAGGACTCCCGCACCAAGATTTGGGACGGACTCAGGAGAGACTCTGCTAGGCCTAGGGTCAGGGAGGACCGAGTTAGAGAACTTCTGGAGGGGCTGGACTTGTTCAAATCAGCAGGTCCAGATGCCAGGGTGTTGAGGGAATTGGCAGGGGTTATCGTGGGGCCCCTGGCATGGCTTTACGAGCACTCATGGTGCTCTGGCCAGGTACTGGACGACTGGAAGAGGGCCAATTTGGTCCCCATCTTCAAAAAAGGGAGGGAGGACTCGGGCAACTATGGGCCCATTAGTCTTACTTCGATCCTGGGGAAGCTCTTTGAGAAGATTATCAAGGAGCACATCTGTGAAGGGCCAGCAGCGGGGATGATGCTTAGGGGCAACCAGCATGGTTTCATTAAGGGCAGGTCCTGTCAGACCAACCTGATTGCCTTCTACGATCAGGTCACAAAATCATTGGATGCAGGTGTTGCGGTGG